AGGAGTTCATCATCACCAAACCATTATTATATGAAATGTTAAAGGGACTTATTTAAGAAAAAGAAGATCAACACTATGAACAATAAAATGGCAATAAATACAAATCTATCAACAACTGAATCTAAAAAACAAACTAAGCAAACAAGGAGAACAGAGACAGAATCATGGATATGGAGAGCATTTTGACGGTTGCCAGATGGGAGGGGGACATGGAGGAATGGGTGAAGAGGTGACGGGATTAAGAAATACAAATATGTAATTACAGAATAGCCATGGGGATGTAAAGTACAGTATAGGAAATGGAGCAGCTAAAGAACTTACATGTATGACTCATGGAACAATGGTGTGGGGACTGCGGAGAGAGTATGGTGTTGGGTGAAGGGGGGCAAAAGGGGAAAAACTGGGACAATTGTAATAGCATAATCAATAAAATATCATTTAAAAAAAATAATCAACCATAAAAAAAAAAAGCTAAAACTAGAACAAGGGATAAGGTTCCCAAGAGTGGCTGCCTTTCTGTTTGTTCAGTGCAAATTCCAATAAATATTCTTAAAATGTGAAATGTTTATTGTGCATTTAATAAAAGGTACTGCTATTCTCTGGGAAAAGTATAATATTATTTGAATATTCATCAGAATAATTATTTCCTTGTTCTTATCATGGAAACTTTACAAGCAGAATCATTAGGCTGAAGAAAATTGTCTGAAATCCATTTTCAGAATGGTGTCTAGTAGTTTTTAGAAGTAAAATAAAGTATACTAAATCTTATTTCTACTCTCCATTTTGCCCTTCTGAAAATAAATGTAGATAAGCATGTATTTTGTGTGTTTTAAATAAAGCTCAAGATTGGGTTACATGAAAACACAAAATTATATGGAAATTTATTTTTAATAAAACCTGGTATTTTAATATAAACTTACTAGGAATAAAGAGAAAAAAAGATTTTATTTAGACAATTTCTGTCCTTGGTGCTAGATTCTTCAGTCTTACAACATCCTGAGAAACTCACACTCTCTCTTTAATACAACATTTTGGGCCCTTACTGTCAAGTCCTACATATTTGAAACACACCTAGACAACCTGCACCACTGTGTTATCAGGATATCTCAGGCTTGTCTCCCCGCAGGAGCCATGTGAAACATGTTAGGTCATGTTCTGGTTAATCCAAAAATCACTATTACAACCTCATCCTTTCTCCCAAGTATCCAAGGGGTTCAGTATTTAGCATTACAAAACAGAGCTGCTTATTATAAAACAAATAGTATAAAATTATGAGTCTGTTCACCTATACTCTGTTCCTTGTTCTGCTTTGGTGAGTTCACTCTTTAAATTTCAGCTTCTCCATATATACAATAGATACCATAGGTTATCAGTTTGCTAGGGATATTCAACAATTTAAGAAAATACCCACAAAACTATTTAATTCCTTGGAAAAAATGAGGGATATGTAATATACATAAAAATATATACACATTTATTCATCACATAACAAGTGTTGTCTTAACACATCTCACTGAAGATGAAGTGTTCTTCTCAAGTAACATCTAGAATTCAGAGCTCTACAAATTAACTGGTACCCAATAAACATATGCTTTAATGAGGAGACCTCATGTAGCTCAATATTAGGTAAACAGAATTTGCTGTACTTCTCCATTTAAAATAGTTTGTTTTCAGCCCTGACTGGTGTGATCCAGTGGGTTGGGCAGAGTCCCACAAAGCGAAAGGTCATTGGTTGGATTCCGGGCTCAGGGTGTGTGCCTGGGTTGTGGGCCAGGGGCAACCAATCAATGTTTCTCTCACACATAGATGTTTCTCTCCCTGTCTCTCTCCCTCCCTTCCCCTCTCTTTGAAAATAATAAATATTTTAAAAGTATTTAAAAAGAAAAACTTAGGTCTTTATACAAATTCAGTGTCAAAGTTGAGTATGCCATAAGAAAGAATGGAATTCAAAATAAACATATTCACCATATTGACCACCTTCATACACTGCTTTATAAAAATAAGATTTAATTTGGTCTTTACTTCAAGGCACCAAATGTTTCAGTCAATACCACTACAGTCTGAAATAACCCACCTGACCGGATGAAATAAAGTGGCTCTCAGTACAGTTGGAAGCTAAGTCAGCTTGCTAAGGGGAATGGCAGTGCATGACAACAATAAGCCCCTTAATGGTTTATCATAGAGTTAGAAAACCTTTAAGGACTGCATATCCAACTCGTTTCTATTTGTTCATATATATTTTAATGCAGTGAGAAGGAAGGAGATTGAAGTTCTCTTGGAATTAAGTTTTGTATTATCTAGGATGACTGAGAGGACAATATATTTCAAATGTGAACTCTTCTTACAACTACTGGGTTAAGGCTAAAATTGGGTTGGCTAAAGAGTTTGTTATATTTTTTTACATAAAATAAAATACACACATTTCATTTTCACCAATAACTTTATTGATTTGGATATTTTGAGTATGTCGGCTATCTCCCATTATTGGCTTCTAGTAGGTAGAGGATAGGGGTGCTGCTACACATCTTCAACGCATAAGACAGCCTCACAACAAAGAATTATACGGCCAGAATGTCAGTAGTACCAAGAAACTTCATAAACCACTTTTGACACGTTTGATCAGGCACAGTACCATCTCCATACACTGCACAAATCTTTTTTTTGTTTTTAACCTTTTTTGAACAAATAACGCATAATATGCCAAAAATACTGCATATTTTCTTTCATCTTCAATATCAATATGGCTGCACAAATATTCACCAACTTTGATAAATTTTTTTTAACGCATGCTGATGTGACAGCTGTCACAACACAATCTAATAAAATTGTTTCAAATGAGGTTAAAGACAATGAAGTCCCACTAGAGCCATTGTACAAAAAAATTAAACGAACTTTTTGGCCAACCCAATACAAAAACTTTCAGTATGTGCATGAAACTCTTAGGTAGAAAAGAACTATGACTATATAAACTCAGTTTTACTTCATTTTTAAAGGAAAAATGAATACATAATTTGTTTCAGTTTGAACTAACTTATTTTGGCATATGACACATCAGTTGTAGAATTCAAACTAAAAAGTTACAGTCCATTCTGATGTCCACTTTAGAAACTAAAGAATAAAGCAAAAACCTTGGAATAGAAATATTATCAGTAGAAAGAGGGTGAAACATGGGTTACATAGATTGCAGAAAGTGTTTATATTTTTAAAAAGTATTTATTATTATTTAAATATAATAGACATAGACATATGTGTAATACTCAAAGTTAAGTCACACGCATGAAAACCATGGTCTGAATTCTACCTCTTTCACTTATCTCTCACACAGAACGGATTTCTTTTTATCTCTAGGAGCCTATGGTCTTTTTTATTTTTTCATACCTAGGTTTTCCTTGACCTGTTCTCTGACCGTACCTCCAAACTCCCATCACCCAGTGCTAACTAAAATTTCCTTGTATTTTCTGGCAGTCTCTTCCTAAACACAACAATTAATCTACCCTTAAACATATTCCCTCTATTCTAAAATATCTTTGACCTAGATTGTTAAACTTCAGAGGACCATATTACAACAGGGTACTACAATAAAACATTACTTCTCTAGGAAGGAATTATAGTACCCTTCTCTATCCTCTCCAAAAGATCTTTGATCCTAAAAGTTGAAGAATGAAGCAGTTAACAAAACATTTCCTTCTACAAATGCATGGCATTCTTTCCTTAAATGTGTCTCCTTCCTTGAACTCTCTTAACCTTCACTCTGTCTTTATGTTCCAAAACCATGAACATTATCCTACTTCTCACTGCCAGACCCCACAAAGGAAATATGTTTCAACAAAGCTTTAATTCAAGAACAGTTTCTGGAGTTGGTAGTGGAGAGAGAGACTACAAATTAAGTGCAGACTGTTTTAAAAAAATAATAAACAATGAAAGTGAGTGCTTAATTGAGGTGTGGAGGAAAACTGTTCTTTGGTAGAGGGAGAAGATGATCTCGGCACACTGGATTTGAAGATGGAAAGAGGGATTTTCAAAATGTTCTAAGACTCTTAACTTCTATCATCTTCCATAAAAAAAGTTTCATTACTAATTAGTCCAGGGTTGGAATGGCCTGCTTTAATCTTTTGAGCCTCAGTTTTTTCATCTGTAAAATGTTGACACCAACAGTACCTTCACCTCACAGGGTAATTGAGAGGATTAAATAGATAACACATGGAAAGCTAAGAGGACAGTGCCTGGCACATAGACCAACATACATTATCTTAAAAGAAATGTGGAGGATGAAGTATCCTTGCTTCGTTCAGAAACATAAATTTTTGTTTTAAGTTCTATTGTAAAATGATATGTATAAATTTATTGTATTCATTCATTTAACATTTCAACTTAGAAATTTAGAGACTGCCTTAGAGAAATACTAATTTAGATAAAATCAAATTAACCAGGGGCAAAAGTTTTAGGCTAAAACAGAACTTCACTGAAAAATACTTAGGAGTCATTATATCGGTAAAGTGACTGTCATGAAACTTAAAAAATGCAAATTCAGCTGTAATCATATGCAGCTGTTCCTTTCAAAATTAAGTCACTATTTGTTCTTTTTTCTGACGCTACAGTACTCTGCTTTCATTAAAAGCCTTTAACAAGTCACAGCTTCTTCGGTATCAAAATCTTTTTGGAAACCTGGCTCAGAGAAAACCACACACTGTTTACAGAAAGGGTCCGTGTGGTCACTCTAGGACAAATGTCACTGTCACCAGCACGTCTGGTGTCATGAAAAGCGGAGGGGAAGGCTGGTGTGTGAAACAAAGTCAACAATTAGGGAGCCCTGAAAAGGGAGAGGTTTTAACTGAGAAACGCAGAGTCTGACTGCGGGGAAACAGTCTCGCGGGGAGGATCAATTTCCAGGGGTGCACCGCCTGCTCCCGCAGGAAAGGGACGCTGGTGTTGCCCTCCCTCCGCGATCCCACCGCTTTCTCCCCGGCGCCACCGCCCCTTCCCCCGAGCCCTCCAGTTACCTTTCTCGTCCTCGTCGATGCGCAGGGCAATGGAGATGAACTCGAAGGCCTGCTTGTGGAAGGCTCGGACTCGCTCGGCTTCCCCACCCGGCACCGGAGCCGGGGGTGAAGGAGAGGCCGAGGCCGGCGCGGCCGGGGAGCTCCTCTTGGCGGCCATGAGGGCGCGGGAGAAGCGCTGGCAGAGCCACACGAAGAGGAGCCCCAGGTGGAAGGCGACTAAACGTAGCAGCGCGAAGCCTACGAACAGCGGATAGGAGAAGTAGTACAGGTTCCGCTTATGCGGCGACTCCGGCGGAGGGGCCGGCTTGGGGGCGGGACGGGCGGTACGGGCGGGGGCCAGGAAGGGGGGCGGAGGCCTGGAAGGCACCGGGCTGCTGGGGCCGCCGGAGCCTTTCTTCTTCCCTCGTCCACCTGGAGAATTCATTCACAGCTCCCGCTGCCGCCGCCGCCATAACCCGCCTCCCGCAGACCGACGGCGACCAAGTGACGGCAGCGGCCACTGGGACGGCGAGGGCCACAGACCCCCGCACGCCGGCCGGTCCCAGGAGCTCGGCACCTCCTAGCGCTGATCGCCGGCCCCGCCCCTTTCTCTTCGCGCAGGCAAGAAGCACTACCCCTTCTTCTCGGGTTGAGGTCGGTGGCTCTTGCCCCTCCCTCTCTCAGTCCTCTTAGCCGCCTCTAGTAGCTCAGAGTGGTGGCCGCGCGCGCACGCCCTCCGGTGTCTTTCTGCGGCGCGCGCGCACGCCGCCGTCTTTGTTGACCTGAGCTCCTAGTGCGCGTGTGCGGCGTCTGTCCCTCAGTCCCTTTCCCAAGGAACTACAGTTCCCAATGTGCAGTTCGGCTCTACGTCGTTCACTGCTCCTGGGAGCCCCTTAGCAGGGAACCTTGCTCATCAATTCACAGAAGTACGCAGCTGCAGTTTGGGGTCGCTCGGTTTGTTCGCAGGGTTTCTATTTCGTAATGTCATCGTTTTCTTATGAGTATTTCTTTCAGTATTTTCTGCCAGTCTTCCGCATAGGATGATTACTCTGCGTTCCGTTTCAGAAGCAATAGGTACCAATCTAGGAATCATCTAAGAGGAGAGCAGTAGTAGAGACGTACAAATTTTAAGGTCACCAAAACGAGAATGTTAGCTCAGTGGGATGAAGTCAAAGATTCCAGAGGTTCAACTAAATTACTATGTTTAGATGAAGAATTAATTTATTTGAATAAGCGAATTCTTAACTTTTACACAGTAATCGTCCGATAGTTTACTGAGGAATCCACACTAGGCCTTTCCCCACCCCTCCCCTTTATCTATTCTAAATCCATTCCTTTGGGGATCTACTCACCTCTACTGCTCTAATGAACTGCAAGCACAGAACCCCAGCTCTGAGATCACAGATGGAAATACTAGGTCAATCCTACTCTCCCAGGAACTTGAATCTTGGATGGAAACACTGGCGTAGAAGGTAGTAGGAACTGAATGCTAAGGAGCAGGACTATCGGTTCGCCTCATTGAGATCCCGAGATGCCAGTTTCCTAGGCTGGTCGCTTTATAATGTAACCTATCCAATAAACTATTCAGTTTATTTTCTCCAATTTTTGTTTCTCTTTCCCATCCCCCTATCTCTTTTTTTCTCTCTTCTGTTATTATTATTATTATTATTTTTTACTTGGGTCAACCATTTCTTATTCCCTAAAACTAAGGAATCCTAACTGATGCAAAATCATCATTGTTTACAGCATGAGGTTTACAGATACATCATGCCAGCTTCAAAGAATCACTGCATTCTGGCAACAACTTTATCTAATTTTTCTCCATCACTACTCTTCTACAAGTGTAGGCTACTGCAAAAGTTACTTGCTCCCTATTTCCCTCCTATTCTCTCTCCCTCCTCTTTCCTGCCTCTGTGCTTATTGCAGTTCCTCATGCTGAAATGCCCTTTCTTTAACATCTTGATTCATTTCAATTGCTGACTTCTCTCTTTTGAGCTCCATAGTACTTTTTGTTGTGTGAAATCTATTATATACATATATCATGTAAACAAGAAGTACATAACTTATATGTATAATTTAAAGAAAAATAATAAAACAGCATCCAGTTTACAAAAACTAATGTAACTATCTCCTTGAAGCACTCTGTGAGGCCCTCTCTAATTTCAGTTTTTCTCCCCCTCTACAAAAAGCCACTACCCTGAATTTTGTACTCATTCCTTTGCCTTTGATTTCAGTTTTGCATATATGTATGTAGTTACTTCTAAACAATATATTGCATTGTTTTGCATGGTTTTGACACCAATGTATTCTTCTTTATTAATGTTTTCTGCTCAATCTTTAACTGTTTTAGATTCCTTTTTGTTGATTTTTTTGTTTATCCTTACCCAAGGACATTTTTTTTTCATTGTTTTTAGAGAGAGGAAGGGGGAGAGAGAGAGAAACATCAATGTGAGAGAGAAACAAACATCAGTTGCCTCTCGTATGCACCTCAACTGGGACCAAACCTGCAACCTAGGCAAGTGCCCTGACAGGGAATCAAAGCTGGAAGCTTTTGGTTTATGGAACAATGCTCCAACCCACTGGCCAGGGCCTTTCTTGTTGATTTGTATAGCTATAGTACATTTATTTTCACTACTATATTCCATGATATGAATTTACCACAACTTATTTTAGTTTGGTGCCAGTTTTTTTCTTTTCTTCTTAAGTAACTAACTTTTTAATTTGGCCAAAAGATGGTTCAATAGTAGAGTGGTTCTGGAGTCAGACTGATTGCATTCAAATCCCTGCTCCACCTCTTTCTGTGATCTTGGACTAGTGACTCAACTTCCACATCTATGTTTTAGCTTCCACATCTATTATATAAAAACAGAGTAGTGGCCCCAGCCAGGTATCTCAGTGGGTTAGAGCATTGTCCCCATATCCCAAGATTGTGGGTTCCATCTCCAGCCAGGGCACATACAAGAACAAAATGTTCTTGTATATACATGTCTATATAGACATATATGTGTATATATATATATGTCTTTTATGAAATGTATATATGTATACACAATAATTCAACTAAAATGAACTACTGGCAAGTTTCTGAGCATTCTTTACCATTTCCCAGGACCACAATTGTGCTCAGTCATTTTTCTTTCCCTCAGACTTGTTTCTTCTGCTACCTCCACTGTCAAAAATCCTTCAGGGCTTAACTGTAATGTTATCTTCTTGATTACTCCTTCCCTTATCATCTCCAGCAGAAATTATCCTTTTTTTAAAAAAAGGATTTTATTTATTTATTTTTAGAGAGAGGGGAAAGGAGGGAGAAAGAGAGAGAGAGAAACGCCAACATGCGAGAGAAACATCCATCAGTTAGTTGCCTCTCGTGTGCTCCCAAATGGGGACCTGGCCTACAACCCAGGCATGTACCCTGACTGGGAATCAAACAGGCGACCTTTTTGTTCTCAGGCTGGCACTCAGTCCACTGAGCCAAACTAGTCAGGGCAGAAGTGATTGTATTTTTTAAATTTTTATGGCAATTTGGTAGTGTTATTTTATGGCTCTTCTCATATATTGCTCTGTGTGATAGTTATTTAAGTATTTTATTACCTCCTGATATAGATTATAAACTTACTTCCAGGCGGTGGCTCACTTCCTGCACCTAACCCGATACTTTGATTATGGTACTCATTGAATAAAGATTAATAACTTGAAAAATAATTCAAACGTGGTAATTATTCTAGAAATATGTTGCTGTGTAATAAACCACTTCAAACGGATTGACTTAAGAAATCAGCCAATTATTTAGTCACAATTTTATGAGTCAGCAATTTGGGCTGCATTCAGTTGGGTGGCTCTTCTGCTGGTGGTGCCTTGGGACATTCATGTGGTGCAGTCACCTGATGGCTTCACTGGAGCTGAGCGGGCTAGCTCTCCTCCCTCACATGTCCAGATGCTGGTGGTAGCTACTGGCTGGAGCATATGTCTCCAGCAGGGTATTCCAGAGCTCTTTATGTTGGATCTGGCTTCTAAGAGTATGAGTGGAAGCTTCAAGGCCTCTTGAAACCTGAACTTTGTAGTTGCGCAGTGTCATTTCTGTTGCATTTTTTTTTTTAAGTAGAGTAAGTCACAAGGCCAACTACGTTGTAAGAGGTGGGAAAATAAATTCTACATGTTGATGGAGGAGTGGCAAAGTCGCATTGTAAAGGGATGTGTATATATGTCCCTTTATATATATGGAATTATTGTGGCATCTTTGCAAGGAATCTGCCACAGTGATTATTTATCAAGTTCCTTTTTCCCTCAAATTCAGATTGGAGCTTAGGATGGATGACTCATCTAGGAAAGAATTGCCCAATCATTTTGCTGAATTATAAAAATCATATTGTAATTATGAGGTAAATTAACATGCTTAAGTTTAAGGAAAGAACAACAATGATGATGATGACCACTACTTCTAACATTGAGCCACATTCTAAGCTAAGCTGTTTAACTTTTATTGTGGTAACTTTTAATTAAGCGTTATCTTTATTTTTTAAAATAGAGAGTTTGAGGCTCTAACAGTCTGTTACTTGCCCAACATCACATATTAGTTAATGACACATATTACTTGAGGGTCTTAAAAGAAAAATCTAGGCTTCTAGAGAAAAATTTTTATGTAGTCTGTATATATTTTATTAATTATGAAATAAATATGTTTTTTGCCCCCTGGAGAAGGAGTTATCTTTCATTCCTGGCCATCCACATGTTGAGTTTCTGGTCTCTGACTTGCCCCTTGCTAATTCTCTGATATCCAGTTGTGCTTAATATTGACCGTGCTTTTCTGTACCTTGTCCTTTTTTTTTTTTTTTCAGTATGTTAGTAACATAGGTTAAAAGTCAGAAAGACTGGGATTGGTATTCTAGTCCTGTCACTTATTAGTTGTGTGATATAGAACAAGTTCTTTAACTAGTTAAGTCCTTTGCAAAATGGGTGGAATAAGAATTAAATTACGGAACAAAAGAATGCATCTAAAACCTCCACCATAATACCTGTAACATAAGAGGGCTCAATAAATTTTATTTGTTTTTGTCTCTTACACCTACAAAGCCATTCCAGAATTCAGACTCTACTGAGATCTCAATGTTTAGTAATCTCAATCCACATTCTCTGCCTCTCGAAATTACTTCCCAGTCACATCCATTTTCTGAATTAATCTCTTCCTAAATTTGTCTCAAGGAAAATAGTGCCTGAATGTTACCCTGGCCTTATAATCTGCCTGGGCTGAAGATCCTAACCTTCTCTGCCATGTAACTTACAGTTTGCCAGCCTCCCAGTTTTCAGATGGTGAAAACTTGGAGAACCCTTAATCTTGAATGGAATCTGGGCCAGTTTCACCAGGACAAAAAGGAGGAGCTGAGTACTGTGCCAACTAATCCAGGACATTCAGTCATTTTATCACTTTAACCCATTAATCTATTTACTAAGTGACTACCACCAAGTAGGGGTTTTTTTTTTCCTCCTAGATATTTTAGCTCTATTTCTCTCCAGCTTGAAAGATATTGGATTATTTGAAGTAGGGACCAATGATAGATATTAAAGTATTCTTGTAGGTTAAAAAAGAAAAGTAAAATGAAATGGCACAACTAGAACCAACAGAGGAAGTGACTGACTCTGAAAGAAGCAGGAAACTTAAAAGAGAAACAAATTAAATGGCATTGTTGGCCCTGGCTGGTGTGGCTCAGTAGATTGAGTGTAGGCCTGTGAACTGAAAGGTTGCTCT